TTGACTGGTTTCCATGAAACATGGTATGAATCTTTTGCCACTGGAGGCCAATCCAAAGCCGTAATGTTTAATCCCCTGTAGAGAGTAGTAATAATCCCGGTCACAGTGGCCGCGCGGTCTAAGGCATGAACTGTTTTCTCTCGCTGGAACGCTGGGATCGTGGGTTCAAATCCCACTCAAGGCGTGGATGTATGTGTGCGTTTATTCTGTGTTTGTGTTGTATGTGTAGGTAGGGGCCTTGCAACGGGCTGATCCCCCGTCCAGGGAGCCCTACTAACTATATAGGATCAAGAAACTGAAAAAGCGGTCAAGGTCTAACAAAAGGACTGTAGAGCCACAATAGACAGACAGACAGATATACATGGATAGTACTTAGCTGGACACAGGAACATGTGATGTGAGAGCGAGTAGCACCACTTCATATCGGGATCTGGGTAATGGATCTTGTAAGAAATGCAACGTTTGCTGGGATAACTCTTTCGTAGAATCTAAAACAAAATTGAAGAAAACAGTCTTCTGGGATGTGGTATCGTGTAGATGTGGTGTTAACCGACATTTCGGAGGAACGTATCGCCTCCATCTTCAGGGTAGAAGGAAAAATAAGAAGTCGGCAAGCGAAGAGACCGTGAGAACCGGTACAAGCAGACTGGTGTTGGAAATAAACACAGCTTGTACCGGTTCTCACGGTCGTTTCGCTTACGGNATACTATATTTTTCATAATTCAACAGTTACCGCCAAGGCGACACGGAATAGTTTTATATCCCAAATTTTAACGTAGACAAAATCTGTACTTAAACAGTATGTTCCACCTAATAATAATAATAATAATAATTTATAGTTAGAAAAATATTAGAAAAGTCACATGAATATAATATCAGTTTGCATCAGTTTGACTTCAAACAAGCATTTGACAGCGGTTTCGCTGTTCCAGTTAATAGAAATAATGAAAGCGTTTGGTATACCCGCCAAGTTAATCTGTCTTACCAAAATGACCTTGTCAAGGACATACAGTAAATTTAAAATCCAGAATGAATTGTCACGAAGTTTTAGAACAGCACGTGGTATCAAGCAAGGAGATTCCCAGTCCACATTGTTTTTAATATTGGTCTAGAGGAAGTGATGAGAAATACAGAAATTAACCCACATGGCACAGTTGTCAGCAGAACCAGGTAATTCGTGGTATATGCTGATGATGCAACAGTTAGTGGTAGATGTGTGGGAGCGCTAAATGCAGTCCTTACGCAACTGCAAGCAGCTGTGGTATGTGCTGGGTTGGTAATTGACACTAACAAGACTAAGGATTGTATGTAAACTAAAGAAACCGTAAATGTGGCCAACATAGACAACGAATTAAATGGACAAAACTTCGAAAAGGTAGATACATTTAAATACCTAAAATAAACTTAAAACTCCGTGGCCTGTAGTGCGCAAGCGAACTATACCGACCAAGCAACCGCCGCTTGTCGTCGAAGATAGTGCCAACTTTAGCGGATAGATAGTGTCTCATGGTCAGCGCAACTGTTCCCGACGGCGGTTAATCTCAGTTTTCTAGACCGGAGCCGCTACTTTTCCATTCAAGTAGCTCCTCAATTATCCTCACGAGGCTGAGCAGACCCACTTCCAGACCGCTACTTCTCGGAAAATCTTGCAGCGTCGGGAATCGATNATCCCGGGACCTCTGGATCTGTAGGCGGGAACTCTGACCACTAGACCACAGAGGTGGTCATTTAAATACCTAGAGACAATAATTACGTCTCAAAAGGAAACAGAATATAATACAGAAGATAAAACTGCAGCTGCCAACCGGTGCTTTCATGCCTTGAATAAGGTGCTCAGTAAGAGAAGTATATAAGTCAGAGCACGAAAACAGGAACATATAAAACTGCCATTAAGACCAATTATAATACACTGCAGTGAAACTCTGGTGACCTGGGAAGGAACGATTTTAAGGAAAATTTACGGACCAAACTGTGAACAAGGGGTGTGGAGAATAAGAAGCAAATTTCAACTACAAAGCGCATATAAGTGACAAAAATCAAAATCAGAAGATTGAAATGGCTGGGCACATCATCAGACTGGAAGATACCCATGCAGCAGAAATGATACTCGACACTAAATCGGAAAGCAGGCATGGATGTGGAAGACCAAAGTTGAGATGATTATGAAGAAAGCAGTCTTCTGGGATTTGGCACCGTGTATATGTGGTGTTAACCGACGTTTCGGAGGNAATAATAATAAGAATAATAACAACAGCATTGAGTTCTTTGATTTGTTTACGTGCTGGCTAAACAGTCCAGTAGCTAGTTACAAAGCAAAGACGACTGAAAGATATGCACACTTGCAAGGGCAAAACAGGGCCGTTGATACAGTTTAAAGCAATTCAGTTCTTGTTTATTTACGTGCAATATTAACAGCCCAGAAGCCAATTACAAAGTTAGCACCAGTATTTAGAAAGAAGTAACAAAAAACGTAGAAACAAAATACAAAGTACGGCAGTTAATATAATAATAATTCCATGAAAAATCAAAGTTATAATTAACAGGTGAGAAAAGTAAAATAAATACATATGCAATGGCTATGCCATAGGATAATATTGTAGACTCCTGTTAGAACTACAATAGAGCGATTGGTGTTTCCTGTGCAACGGTCTGTTTTAGCGGTTTCATAGAAGTGACTTCTGGATTCCTGACACGTTACAGTATTCATAAATGCATACGTACATATACGTATATGTAATAATAATAATCCTCTTGACACAAATGGAAATTATCAGTAAGAAAAGAGAACTATATATTTATATTTAATACAATTAATATTTTAATAAATAAGAAAGCACCATGGGTATTGTGAAGTGAGTGAGAAAAATAATTTTTGTCATATCGCCATCTCTGGAAGTAGCATTAGCAGATGGTTCGCATCCAGCAGATTAATAAGTTGCTGTAACATTTGAAAATGCACTAAAACCTTCAGTTCCTCGTGTGTCCCACTCGCGTTTTCCTGGTCACTCGGCGCCAATTCTCAACCATGTGCAAGGTAGACGTAACATTAACCAAAATCCCATGGAGGCCCGACGCCGCGTGGTATACGCCTAGTTTGCTGTCAACGAAATACGTAATATCGTAATACGTAGCGTGTCGGCTACTTTGTGCACCATAGCATTATCGTAAGTGCAAGGAACATGTTAGGCTAAGTAAATGACTTGCCGTATCAAGAGAGGGTACTGAATTACGACTTCCTCTATAGCCAGACGGGTCGGACCATATTACCAAAACGTAAGCAGCAGCAGCAGTACCGGAAAGGGAAGTGACGTATATATGTGTGTATAGTGAGCGTGACCCAACGGAGGAAACAGTTTCCCGCATTTCCCTGTAGCATACTGCTACCTGCCTACATCCCTATAATAAAGTCATTTCACACATCTGCAGCAGCCCGAGACTTTGTGTGGGCTTCGAAATACTATATTAAGTACTGGAAAGGAATTAAAAATTCGTCTTGGTGATACAGCCCTGCGGAACCTTCGCCTCTGTATTAAGACAAGCGATGTAACTTTTTGGATCGGGGATCAGTCTATCGCAAGGCAGGACAACGCAGTAAAATGAGTCTCAAATGAGACTGGAACACGTGACATAGCAGCCTGTGACTGTCCTATCGGAAATAGCAAACAGAGCTACGTATCTCAGCGTTCTTAAAGTTATTATAGGTAAGAGTGGCCGCCTCTCTGGTCTAGTGATGCAGTTCCTGGCTACAGATATAGATGTCCCGTGTTCTATTCCCGGCGCTACCAGATTTTCTGAGAAAGTAGTGGGTCTGGAACGGGGTCCACTCAGCCTCGTAAGGATAACTGAGGAGCTACTTGAATACAAAAGTAGCGGCTCCGGTCTAGAGAACCGAAATTAACGGCCGTGGGGATCCGTTGCGCTGACCACGCGACACCCTCTGTTCACTAAAGTTGGCACTAACTTCGCCGACAAGCGGCTGTCGCCCGATCGGTATAGTTCGCTTGCGGTTTAAAACCACTGAGTTTGTTTCTTTTTGTCCTGATAGCGTTCTTTCTTTTTGTCCTGATAGCGTTCTATGAACTTGAAAAGGTTGAGGCCTTTTTGAAAATACTCTCTCGGCATTCGCTGGAGGCCATTGTCAGGGTAATCGGTTTCACATGCGTGAATTTAATCGGGCATCTCCCGAATGCAAGTCAGAGTTGCTGCCTCTTCCGCCACCCTGCTCGGTGGCAAGTCTTTAGAACAGCTTAGATGAAATTGGATTCTGCGTTGTAAAGGAGATTAATTTACTGACTGTTCAGGTAAGATTGTATGCCATACATTAACTTCGTTTGCTATGATATTTATTATTTTCCTAAGATTGGAGGCATGTCTTTTGAGTAGGTCTTTTTTTTATTATCGCTAGTGGGGTGGGACTAAGTCCCTTGTACTGCGGCTACTTCTGGACTATTGTACCAGCCCCAAATGATAGGTGAGGGTGATTGTGGAGTAAATGGTGGAATGAAGATCGGCAAGGGAAACCGAAGTACTCGGAGAAAACCTGCCTCAGCGCCACTTTGTCACCACAAATCCCACTTGTCCTTCGCCGCAATGGGAAGCCAGCGACTAACCACTTGAGCTATGGCGCGGCCTTTTGAGTATGTTACTTTGATTAGAACGAAAAATCACCGACGTAGCCTATGTAAAATTTTAAGTTCTATTAACAACCAAAATCATCATCATTATCAGCGTCGTCGTCGTCCCTGCCAGTAGACTTAATTTAGACGTTGGTTTGTTAATTTGTTGTAACTTATCTTCTGCCACGTTTTCTTGAATTCTTTCTGACAGGAAACCCATTGCAACATTCCCAAACAGAGGAGGAGGAGGAGGAATTTCAAGTGTATACTTCATACCAATAATGAGGACAATTTGCAATATTCTTTTCACTGTTACCTTCTCTCCTTTTTGGACGATAGGCGTTTTACGTGACACATTCCTTCAAGATATCTTTTCACTCTTACCTGTTTTCCTTCTTCAAACCATAAGCGCTTTACGTGACACAGTCACGGCCTAATAGCCGTGACTTTAAGACTGGGGAAGGGCATGATAGGAAGCTATCGCTAAAGTAATATCGCAACATTCGGCTGACGTAATCATGAATGTCCCCCACCCCTGACGAACTTCATATCTTGAGATACCGTATCAGAGAGTTTGTGAACCGGAACTGTCGTTGCATACAGCGATGTGGTTTAAAAGGTTGCTATAATGTTAAGGAAAATGACACGATAATATTTCCATTAGGCGTGTAGCTGCTTAATCGATCACAGAGGCCGCGCTACCTAGGGCGTGAACCGTCTTCGCCTGCTCGAACGCTGGAATCGTGGGTTCGAAAGCCACTCGAGGCATGGATGTCTGTGTGCGCTTCTATTCTGTCTTTGTGTTCTGTGTGTATGTAGCGGCCTTGCGACGGGCTGATCCCTCGTCGGAGGAGTCCTACCG